AAAAAAAAAAAAATTTGGTTGGGAATTTTTTTCGCCATTCGATAAAATTAATCCTTCGTTGACTGGCCTATTATCAGACATTACAAGAATATTATTTTATACTACTTAATGGATGTCTTATATTATAACAACACATGTAAAATTGAATTATGAAATAATAACAATGGCAAATTTGCATTATGATACTGTCTCATTGTATAAATATATTTTCCACTCTTTTTCTACCTTCTTTCATACCTTTCATATTTGTTAAACATTGATAAAATGTACAAAATATATTGCAATACGTATACATCCGAGATTAAAGAATTCCAATAAGGCTGAAAGGTAAATTCTACAAGACTGTAGTGAGGCCAGCTATGATGTATGGTTCAGAGTGTTAGGCAGTGAATAAGAAAGTAGAGCAAAAAGTAGAGTGTAGCAGAGATGAAAATGCTTAGATGGATGACTGGAGTGACTAGGGAAGATAGAATATGAAATGAGCATATAAGAGGGAGTATAGGTATAGCGTCAATCGTGGATAAGATGAGAGAAATTAGACTTAGATGATTTATTCTAAATATTTAATAATATTGATATTAAATTTATTTATGTTTTAGTAAGTGAGGTATTATGAAATAGGTTTGGTAATTGATTTAGTCTGCCTTAATTAGTGATGTACAGCTTCCGATTCTTCTCTCCTCATAACATGATCAAACCATCTAAGTCTAATTTCTCTCATCTTATCCACGATTGACGCTATACCTATACTCCCTCTTATATGCTCATTTCATATTCTATCTTCCCTAGTCACTCCAGTCATCCATCTAAGCATTTTCATCTCTGCTACACTCTACTTTTTGCTCTACTTTCTTATTCACTGCCTAACACTCTGAACCATACATCATAGCTGGCCTCACTACAGTCTTGTAGAATTTACCTTTCAGCCTTATTGGAATTCTTTAATCTCGGATGTATACGTATTGCAATATATTTTGTACATTTTATCAATGTTTAACAAATATGAAAGGTATGAAAGAAGGTAGAAAAAGAGTGGAAAATATATTTATACAATGAGACAGTATCATAATGCAAATTTGCCATTGTTATTATTTCATAATTCAATTTTACATGTGTTGTTATAATATAAGACATCCATTAAGTAGTATAAAATAATATTCTTGTAATGTCTGATAATAGGCCAGTCAACGAAGGATTAATTTTATCGAATGGCGAAAAAAATTCCCAACCAAATTTTTTTTTTTTTTAAAGTTGAATTAAGATATGTATAATGCCTCATTGGAATTCTTTTATCACATAAGACACCAGATACTTCTCTCTATTTCAACCACCCACACTTAATCCTGTGTCTTACATTCTCGTCAATACCACCGCTCTTTTGCACTACTGATCTTAAATACTTAAAACTTTCTACATCTCCATTCACACTCTCGCCTATTGTCACTGATCTCCTCATTTCACCTACCTCATGTTCTCTTTTGTCAACCCAGCCAGAATTTCTGGTAATGATAAAATTAATTGTCATTAAGTGTCTAAAATTGGTCTTGTTCTAGTAAACTCAATGGTGGATAATAACTTTCATGATATAAATCTTAAAAGGTCAAATAAAGTTATAACTGTATCTTCAATAACTTCTAATGTTAAAATTAATAATGAAATAATTAAAGTAAACCAATTGCTACTGTTTTAACTAAGTCCAATCGATGAGGACTTTTAGTATGTCATTATACATATCTTAATTCAACTTTAAAAAAAAAAAAAATTTGGTTGGTAATTTTTTCCGCCATTTTTCCTTTGTTGACTGGCCTATAATATAATTAGCCAATTATTGGACAGTGTTCTAGTAAATATGAAAAAAAAAAAGTTGTAAAATAGTTTTGTTTTAAAATTTAAAACTTATTTAAAAGTAATTTATAAGAAGTCTAGAGGAGCTTGTACAACTTTTTCAGTGTCTCCCTGACCTGAAGATCTACGTTTCGCCATTGTTATAAATATATATAAACTGGTGACCCAACAGTTAACACATAGACACAAATTTATCAATTTCCATTGGGATAAAAAAATGTTAAAATAATAGGTAATAATACCAACTAAATAACTTATAATGTAACAAAATCCAAGGTAGTACACATCAAAAAGTAAGAGATTTCAATACTAAACATTTTTATGAAATATTATATTTGATATTTTTAAGTGGTATTTATTTAATAAATGAAATAAAAGTAATTTTTGTAAATTATTTGCCTTCAAATATTAAATAAATTTAATTAATAAAATAAAAATTTTAGATTTAAAAAAATAATTAAATTACACTTTTACGTGAATTTTAACAAATTTAANATTTAATTAATAAAATAAAAATTTTAGATTTAAAAAAATAATTAAATTACACTTTTACGTGAATTTTAACAAATTTAAAAGGTCATCCTCGTATTATTTTTATATTAAAAAATAAGCATCTGGTCTTACTACATTGTAACTAAGTACTACATTTAAATACAACAAACTACAAGTAAAATTTATGAAACGACATGTAAAAATTAATTAATTAAATAACTGTTTATTTTAATGTTTTTGAAACTTAATAAGAACTATAAACTAACTTGGGTAAGGTGTTTATCCAAAGATGGTGGTACAAGTCTATCATTGAGAAGAAATATAGAGCGTACAAGATTATTAATTCTTGCCTCCATTTTCGTAAATATTGATACTTTACACAATTAAAAATTCATTTTTGTAAGTTAAATATTAATTATAAGTTCGACAAAAACCATTTTAATGTGTTTCAATAGTATAAATTAACACGTTATATTTAACACAACTGACATCAACGTAATAACTAGTCAATATATTATAACTATTACACAATATATGAAATTCGCGCCAAAAATTATAATAATATAAAATAAGCTATTTTGATAAATGAATTGATAAGGAATTTTATACTAAAGGCACAGATAAGATAAAACCAAATGTAAACAATCCGAAACCTGCTTCATATCAGTATGGCCGCTCATAGAAACAAATTCTTTATGAGAATTTATTGTTCTTCAACTATGCATTACTGCTTGTATTGTTTATTATGACGTCTTTATTATCACGCCAAATTTACTATTACTTTTCAATTCCGTTTCAATATCACGGTATTGATGTATGAATATATTTAAAATTTATTTATTGTTAATTTTTGCAACAGTTTTTTGTGCGATTTGTTTTAAATAATGATCAATAAAAAAAACCCATCTCAGGGGGGTCGCGGCACAGTGGTGACGTGGCATAGTTGGATCAAGTATAATGATATCTGACAGTGATTAAAATCACTATCAAATTAAAGTATATTACATAAGCTTTAATTTAAGATATATATAAAAGTGTCAGACCTTCCGGAACATTTTCAAAAGTTAATTTTTTGTCAAAAAGTTGTCATTTTAAATCCCCTCCTGTGGGCAGCAAAAAGGTCAAATTTACAAAAAAAATATACCAAATGATAAGTAATGACATCAAGCATCTATAAAAAAAAAATTATATTGATATGTTATTAAATGTGATTCAATAATTAAAATTGAGTTTGGAAATTAATATTAGCTTCGATGCGAAGCTGAGAAGTTATTGGTTTTACTATGATGTGTTTATTTTTTTTTTTTTTTTTTTCTGTTACCACTTTTTCTCAGCTCTCACCGAACGGATTTCTTTCAACGATACGTCAAAAGATCACAAATCGTATCTAGTCGAAGACATTACCCTTCAAAATTGAAAAAATTTCCCTCGTTCCCCGTAAATGGGGGAAACCTCCAAAAAAATTACAAATTTAAAAATCGCTAATTTTCGAAATTTTTTCAATTTTTTTTACTAAAAACTGCCGTAACTTTTTCAAAAATGAACATATCAATATATTTTTTTTTTTTATAGATGCTTGATGTCTTTACTTATCATTTGGTATATCTTATCTTTTTTTATATTTTTAACTTAATAATGCTCTAACTTTTTCAAAAATGAACATATCAATATATATTTTTTTTTATATAGATGCTTGATGTCTTTACTTATCATTTGGTATATTTTTTTTGTAAATTTGACCTTTTTGCTGCCCACAGGAGGGGATTTAAAATGACAACTTTTTCACAAAAAATTAACTTTTTCAACTTAACTTTTGAAAATGTTCCGGAAGGTCTGACACTTTTATATATATCTTAAATTAAAGCTAATGTAATGTACTTTTATTTGAAAAAAAAAAATTTGACCTCTGGACTTGTCTTCATGGTGAAAACGGCTACCGAATACTATTTTTTTGTGAAAATTTTCGATTTTATTATTTATATTATATTTAACTTTATAATGCTATAACTTATTGAAAAGTTTATGGATCCACACAATTTTTTTATGAGAAATAATATTTTTTAATAAACCCTTTTTCATTCGACATACTTTATCTTAATCGAGATATTAATAAGGAACCAGCAGATCAAGTAGCTTTTGGAATAAAACACCAATTTTTTTAAAATTAAACACTATCTAAAGATTTGCATCGAAGCGTTTATTTATGATAGTGATTTTAATCACTGTCAGATATCATCTATACTTGTCCCATCTATGCCTCGTCCACACTGTGCCTCGACCCCACTGTGCTACTGTTTTTATTTAGTTATTTTTGTTAAAAATTATTTTCTTAAATAAAGCAAGTCAGTTTTTGTTTGATCATTCACTATAAAAAAGTTTGTTTTTATTTTATTGCATAGAATAAATTTGTCTACAATAGACAAATTTACACATAACACAATATTATTGAGAGTAACATATAGAGCAATTCTAAATAAGTTAACTGAATGAGTTCACCTGTGCACAGCTATATTAGGCATAATTTACATAATCAGAAAGAAATAATTAGAGTATGGTGCCTTAATTATATTTTAATTATTTCTGTTTTATAGTCGTCGTTGTCGGCGCACTGCGGTGGTCGATTGACGTCTAGGGTATTCGTGCAAGGCGGTACTCTACTGTTATGTGTCGATAGTACTCTGCGGTTATCACGACATGTTAAGGGCTATTTACGCAATACTCACAGATTAAGCTACATGACATAACGCATATAGTATTACTTGTTAACCAGCGTAGGTTACTTATGCAGTTAGGTTATAACGACATTTGATATATTTTACACATGGTAGAGCTTCATACTCTGTTTTTTATTATTTTATGATTACAGTCCATTCACGAGTATTAACAAATTGTAAGATGCGTAATGCAAAGCATTGAGCATATTACGACACTTTTAACGATATAAGGAAGGAATTTCATATTCATATTTAAATATTTTACTATATGGTTTTTTTTTTGTGTCTGTTATTCATTTTTATCAGCTCTTACTTGATCAATTTTAATGATCAATACGTCAAAATAATACTATTTTAAACAGATTGAACTTATAATCACCAAAAATTGAAAAAAACACTTTAATTTTAGAAATTTAGACAAATATCTCAAAATTATACTAATGTAAAAAATGGCTACTTCAAACAAATTTTTAGCTTCGATGCAAAGCTGAGAAGGTATTAATTTTACTAAGTCTTTTTTTTTTTTTTTTTTGTGTGTGTCTGTTACTAGTTTTTCTGATCGAACCGATTTCTTTTAACAATAAGTCAAAAGATCACAAATCTTTTGAGGGTAATGTCTTCAACTAGATACTAGTTGAATACATTACTTTTGTTGTGAACTGGCTTTTTGCTGCCTAATTGTAATTGTAATTGTGTAATTTAATAGTATATATATTAATCATTAGCCCCATTTTTCTTGTATATAAAGTATTAACTAGGCAAGCATCTAGTCCTTCTAGAACATTCGATGCTTTCTCAGCCTTTTTCAATGTATTGGGCCTACGGCCGCCGCCGCCTGAGGCGACGCGCGCCAGTAGTAGTCAGCTACTCGTTCAAGAGTCATATAGTTCATAGGTCGAACCTGGACGATTCTCCACTACATCTTTTGTTAATTTGTTCACTGAATCTTTTATAATAATTAAGTATCAACTCATTAAAGTCGTGAAGTCAATTATAAGTATAAATATATTTTTAAATATAATAAATAGCAACTAATTATCAAACGCATTATCTCTTCATTTTGTCTACCGTATCAACCCAGTCACAACACTCTCAACAATTTTTTAAATTTCCCTCATTCCCTGTAAATTGGGGAAATCTCTCAAAAAAATTACAAATTTAAAAATGACTAATTTTTGACATTTTTTCAATTTTTTTCAACTTATTTTTATTTAAAATTTATTTATTGATTATTCATACATTATCTAATTATCAAACATAAATATTTGTTATATTAATTAGAAGGATTTTGTTATTATTTAGGCCATGTATGAAACTCTAATTGTAGATTTTAATCACTGTCAGATATCATTATACTTGACCAAACTATGCCACATCCCCACTATACCGCGACCCCACTGTGCTGGGTTTTTTATAATAAATATTTATTATAGAATATAATATGAAATATATGTTGAGCAAAGGAACTTTAGCTATTAAAGTACCTTAACATTTTTGAAATCATCAAAATGTATTTAAGAAAACTTTAATGTAGTAATATACAAATAAAAAATTAAATATAAAACAAAATTAATTTAAAACCCAGCACAGTGGGGTGGTGGCACAGTGGGGTCGTGGCATAGTTAGGTCCAGTATAGATGATATCTGACTGTGATTAAAATCACTATAATAAAAAACGCTTCGATGCAAATCTGTAGATAGTGTTTAATTTAAAAAATTGGTGTATTATTCCAAAAGCTACATGATCTGCTAGTTCCTTATTAATATCTTGATATTAAACATATTTTTGAATATGATAGCCATTTGCACATAGAAGATAAGATGTCGGGAAAAAAATTTTTTTTTTCATTTTATATTACATAAAATAAGCTATAATTTGATATATGTTTAAAGGACGCAGTATTTCCGAAACATTTTCAAAAATTAAGTTGAAAAAATTATTTTTGTAAATAAGTTACTATTTTAAATCCCCCCAGTGAGCAGAATAAGTGTTAGATTTTCAAAAAAAATTATATCAAAAAAAAACCCAGCACAGGGGGGTCGCGGCACAGTGGTGACGTGGCATAGTTGGATCAAGTAAATGATATCTGACAGTGATTAAAATCACTATCAAAAATAAACGCTTCGATGCAAATCTTTAGATAGTGTTTAATTTTAAAAAAATTGGTGTTTTATTCCAAAAGCTACTTGATCTGCTGGTTCCTTATTAATATCCTGATTAAGATAAAGTATGTCGAATGAAAAAGGGTTTATTAAAAAATATTATTTGTCATAAAAAAATTGTGTGGATCCATAAACTTTTCAATAAGTTATAGCATTATAAAGTTAAATATAATATAAATAATAAAATCGAGAATTTTCACACGAAAAAAGCATTCGGTAGCCATTTTCGCCATGAAGACAAGTCCAGAGGTCAAATTATTTTTTTTCAAATTAAAGTATGTCAAATGAAAGATGTACTTATAATATATTTAGAAAAAAAAATTTGTGCTTATACATACATTTTTCGAAAAGTTATAGCATTTTTAAGTTGAAAATTAATAATCGAAAATCGAAAATTTTAACACAAAAATAGTGTTTTTTTGACTACGGCAACCGTTTACATGCAGAAGATAAAGTGTCGGGACAAATTTTTTTTTTCATTTTATAGTACATAATAAAAGCTTTAATTTGATATATATGTTTGAAGGACGCAGTATTTCCGAAACATTTTCAAAAATTAAGTTGAAAAAGTTAATTTTTGTAAAAAATTTGCTATTTTAAATCCCCCCCAATGAGCACGTTAAGTGATAGATTTTCAAAAAAATGATATCAAATGAAAGGAAGATATCTAAGGTTTTAGTATACACAAGAATTATGTTGATTTGTTGATTTTTCAAAAAGTTATAGAAGTTTTAAGAAAAAAACCCAGCACAGGGGAGTCGCGGCACAGTGGTGACGTGGTATAGATGGATCAAGTATAACGATATCTGACAGTGATTAAAATCACTATCAAAAAAAAACGCTTCGATGCAAATCTTTAGATAGTGTTTAATTTTAAAAAATTGGTGGATTATTCCAAAAGCTTCATAAACTGCTAGTTCCTTATTAATATCCTGATTAAGACAAAGTATGTCGAATAAAAAAGAGATTATTAGAAAATAGTATTTCCCATAAAAAAATTATATTGATCAATACACTTTTCAATAAGTTATAGCATTATAATGTTAAAAATGTAAAAAATAAAATTGAGAATTTTCACACAATAATAGCATTTGGTAGCCATTTTCACCTTGAAGATAAAATAAAGTCCGAAATTTTTTTTT